CCTTATAGAAATTTCACTTCATGCAGCTATCTTAATATATTTGAATTCCTTGCCCTGTTTTTTATTTCATGCTTTTCTGGGCCCCCATGAAAACAATGCTGGCCCCCTGCTATATTTGGTCTAGAACCGCCACTGGCATTGATGACTGAAATACATCTTATGCCTACATTTATCTGTTTACAACAGTGTGTTGATTCATGTTAATGTGTATATAAAGACATCTAAATCATTGGGAAAAAATTACAGGGGGGAATATAAAAAAGTCTAATAAACCAAAACTTTCACGACCCCTGTGTTGTACCTCCAGGTCGTGGACCCCCTGTTGAAGACCTCCGCAATAACCTGTATTTTATTCTAAGTAAGGAAGGAAGGAAGGAGGAAAGGAAGGGTGTAGAGGAGAAAGGTAAGTAGTAAAAAGTAGATGAACCATAGGAAGGAAGGAAGGAAGGAAGGAAGGAAGGAAGGAAGGAAGGAAGGAAGGAAGGAAGGAAGGAAGGAAGGAAGGAAGGAAGGAAGGAAGGAAGGAAGGAAGGAAGGAAGGAAGGAAGGAAGCGTAGTAAAAAGTAGATGAACTATAGGAGGAAAGGAACAGGGCAAGATCATGGCATGCATAGCTGCATCTAGTAAAAGTTTAATATATATTCAAAGTGTAGTATGACACTGAGATTAATAACTTTCATCACAATCTTAGCATGCTTAAAATTCAAAATTGAGTCAAGGGTCACACCAACATTTTTATATTCCGTGACTATGCCAGTCAGGTGCCATGTATCTAAAGAAACCCAGTTATTTTTTTGTTGTTGTTGATTTTGATTTATTTTTTTGTGGATGATTGTAGATGCCTTTACATTCTTGATGAAATGAATCCAGATTTTATTCATATTATATGTTATTCTTAAACATCTTCCCACTGTGTTTATGTTGTCTCTCCTGGTGACCCCTTGCTGTCTGAACCCAGCATCCCGTCAAGGACAAATGCTCTCCTTTTCCATTGGTACATTTCTACTCAACTGGAGTTTGGCTCTATTCTGCACATTTTGGTTTGATTTCCAATACAATGGAGCAACATCTCAGTGTCAGTGGGATCTCCAAGAACGATGCAGCCAAACAGTAAAAACTGTTCAAACAGTCTTATTTAAAAGGATACAAACACAACAAAAGCCATATACTGCATATCAATCTAGGGCTTTAGTTGGATTCATATTCATATAAAATACTTTAAAGACTGCAAATATTATACTACAAATTATGCTACAAATATTAATACTATAAAATGTATACTGTGATTATTAGTAAATTCACACCTATACAGTCAGTAATCGAGAGTCTGCTTATGTTAAATTTCAAGTACGACTGGACATGGTTGTGGGATATGTGTATATACCGTACTTAACCAACACTAAAGATATTCAAATGCACTGAGCCATTTGTTTGTTTTCAGCAAAAAAACAAAACAAAACAAAAAAAAACAAAAAAAAAACACAACCGTGAAAATTATTTTAATATTGATTCATTGGGTTAAAGATGATTATAATAGATTCTTTGCCTGCTCAACACATTAAGGCGAAGCTTTTGACCGCCCCAAGATGGCGCCACCAAAAGGGATAGATGCGGGTCTACTCTTGTATTATGGGTATACAAATTGTTTGTTGTTCATTGTTTGTTGTTATTGTAACAGAAATTAATTGCGCTGCTTCCTCCTGATTCTTGTTTTTTCCATCAACACTTTGAAAACAGTCGGCACACAGCCGCGTCAAAGACCCGCCCCCTGCCTGTGCTTTTTGTTTGGATTGGTTGAATTCCGTGATTGACAGAACAACGATAGGAAGGACATAATGAAAAAAAATGGCCACTCCGGGGTAAAAAAAAAAAAAAAAAAAAAAAAAAAAAAAAACAGCAGGTGTCTCTTTGGTCTGGCCTGACCCGCCAGCTTGACGGCAACCTGACAAGTTATGAAACCATCTTTTTTTTTTCTGGCGTCTGACCTGGCGTGCTGCCGATACTTTTTAAGTTGACTAGACGACCATCAGGCGCCAGGTGGACCACGGGTCATCCGATTGGCCACGCGACACATAAACAGCTGGCTAATAGACCTCATTATGCGCACTTTTCATACCTTATTATGACCCCTTTTGGTCTAATAAGCTCTAATCCTCATGGCCCTCCACCAACTTTCAGTAACAAATGAAAGTTAACATTTTGCCCCCACAAAAAAGAAAAGCATTAGTTAATGCTTTTCACAACATCTGCAACTATATTTTGTATATATTTTGAATTACACCATACATTTGGCATTGTTTTATCAATAGCAGTATTAATCCAACATTATTAAGAAGCAAATACATGCACAAATAAACAATACAACTTTTAATCATGCATCTATTTGATGTTCCTCCACAAAAACATTTTTTATTGTCTTATTAATAAATCATCTCTTAATACATGTGTGTAAATACAATTTAGAGAAATTTTTAATGTAGAAATAATAATGAAGAATAAAAAAAATAAAAAATAGTTCTTCTCATTATGACCCCATTTTGTGCTTGGAGTTGAAGCAGCATGTTTCATGCTGACAGGACCGTCTGCCAGATAGAGGAGCAATGACCTTTGTTTGACCCCTGGGGTCCAAAACAAAAAAAAAACCGGATGCACAGTCTGCAACGTTTTAAAAGAGTATTTGAAATAGCATTTACTCGATTACTGTGATTACCAGCGTCATAATATTTCCCCTTTTCATATAATAATCAACAATGATGATCATAATTGAGGTAGGCCCACATGCAGATTAAATTGCACGAACCCTTATGTGCTTTTAAATCTTAGAGTTAGAAGAAAAGAAAATCGGTTTCCTTCAAAGATTATTTTCATACACAGGTGACACATCAAACAGCATGCAAGAAACACCTCCCATTAGTAGGCAAACATTGTTTCACCTTGTAGCTATTTTCAGCCCTCTATAAATATGGCTGCACATTGTATTAGAGGATCCAGCAATTCAGGAAAAACAAAACAAACAAAACAGTTTTCCAAAATAATAAGCAACATGCAAGCAGGAGTTTACCCCCAGAGCTTCGACATGTGGAGGGACTACATGGGCCTGAGCAGCGTCCTGTTGGGCCATCGGTGTCCGGAGGGGCCCAGAAACCCAGAGGAGCGCAGCGAGGGGCCAGTTCAGCAGATCATATCCCTCCATGCTTCTCTCTCTTGGATGAAATCCAAAAACTTTCCAGAGATCAGATCGACCAGCAACAGCCTGTCAGACTCCAGCTGCAGCGGCGGGACCTCGGCGGACTTATGTCACTTCTGCAGGCATAACGGGGAGTCTCCACTCGTGTACCGGTCCCACGCACTCAAATCTGACGATGGGAAGGTGACCTGCCCCATCTTACGGAGATACACCTGCCCTATCTGCGGGGCCAGCGGGGATCACGCACACACACGCAAGTACTGTCCAGAAAAGAAGAGGAGGGAGGCGGTGAGGGAGCTCCCTGAGCTCAAGTTCTGGTAACTGATGATGGACTCAGATTTCTTTTCTATAAACTGTGCATATTTACAAACAAATGTTATTGTTACCCACCAGAAAGCACTTGTTCCAATGGCTTTACCAAAACAAAATAAACAGTGTCCTTAACAGTACATTCTTTGAAATCTCTTTATTGGTATCGTGTCACCTATATCTGTCACTATGTGCACTATTTTTACACTGATATTTAATCATTCATCTCCTAAGTTGCTGTTCTATAAAAGTCAGGAAGGTTCAGTAGTGGATCTAGTTTCATAAATCCTACCCTGCCTTCATAAGAAATAAAACTCCAATTCGTTTTTGTAACCCCATTTTTTTAATTAACATTTGGGGATCCTTCAGTCCAGAGATTAGATTTAATCCGATTTTGATGAGAAGATAACAGGCACGGTTTTGGATAGATAAAAAAACATACAAATAAAAAAAAAAATCTGTTTTTAAATTATCAAAACAATTTGATTGCTTTGTAAAAGTAATTAACATATTTATGAATATCCTTAGGATTCTCTGATTACTTTCAACAATGGAAAACAGAGCAAAACAGAGAAACAGTATTGAAAGAAATTGCTCATGGCTGATATATTCTGTTGTAAAAACGTTATTTAACAAAAATGTACATAATCTGATTGCTTTAACGCAACCTTTCACTCATTATACACACAGTCTGCATTTTTCATGCAATACAATTATCATGATGTATTTTGATTAGTCCACCATTTCCACCATGTTTTTAAATGATCAAAACAATTTGATTGCTTATCAAAACTAATTAACATATTTATGAATATCCTTAGGATTCTCTGGCTACTTGATAGATAGATAGATAGATAGATAGATAGATAGATAGATAGATAGATAGATAGATAGATAGATAGATAGATAGATAGATAGATAGATAGATAGATAGATAGATAGATAGATAGATAGATGATAGACAGACAATTGGAAAACAGAGAAACAGTATACAAATTGCTCGTGGCTGATGTATTTTGTAATAAAAATGTTATTTAACAGTTTTACATAATCTGATTGCTTTAACACAACCTTTCACTCATTAAACACCAAGTCAGCATTTTTCCTGCAATACAATTATCATGATGTATTTTGATTAGTCCACCATTTCATAACTTGGAGATCAGGCTCAGTAGAATTCCCATTTCCTATTGGCTGATTCTGAAGGAGCAATGCAGTGATTGGGTCAGAAAACTTACACAAACATATGAATGCATCATAAATATTATGTTATCCAACATAGTATAGGGGGCAAAGTCTTACTTTTTATATGTTTAGAATTACTGAAAAGAGTCATAAACAGGAGTCAGTTTAGGTGGAACCTTGTTTCTTTTTTTATCTAAAAAGATGTGTCTAGAAAATATTTACTCTCATATTGCAAGTTTAAACCATGTAAACGTGCTGATGAATCATAAACCCAACATCATAAAAGACCTGCTGTTACCCGACACGATCTTTTCTAGTGAAGAAAAGACCCTCGTCTTATACGTCTCACTGGAGAATTCTCCTCCAAGAGCACGAAGCTAATATAATCAGTTTCTGGTAATGCTGCTGAGAGTTTGCTCTGACAGCTTCCTATTTCCCCTTGTTTTCTAGATGGGTTGATCTGTAATTATTTTGTGTTTTCAGATAAGCTGAATTATCAAGAATGGCGAAACACAATATTGGTCTTTTGATTGCCATTGTGATGGCATTGATCATCTTCATCATCACCATGGCCTTCTCTGCTCTGGCGGCTGCAGGAAGTTGTAAGTCTTAGTGTGAAAATTATAATTAAGATGATTATTATTCGGTTATAATGTTCCTTGCAACATAAGTTAGCTTTGGATTGATAAAAAATGTGATTACTTCTTAAATTTTAACTTGCAATAACACCAAAAATATAGGTAGAAAACCAGCAAATCTTGTCGTAATTATATAATTATTTAAAATTTTCTGCATGTTTGGTGAATTTTCAACTTTTGTCATATTTTTGTTCTCTGCATTTGTACCCTAAAGCCCCCTTCTTGTACGACACCAGCAATATTTCTGCCCAGTTCGTTATCCAGCTCACGCCATCAGGCTGGACCTTCACAATCTGGACCATCATTTACATCTTTCTGGCTTTGGTGATGGTGTATGGCGTCTCTGGCATCTTCAGGAAGTAAGGGACAAAAAAATGGCAACTCAAATTGATTTGATGTCAGTGAAACATTATATAGCGATGTTGAGTTTGACTATTTTTGAATCCTCTCCACAGAAATGCCTATGGTTATGTGTACTGCAGCCCTGCAGTTTTACCGCTCGGCTTTTATGCGTTTTGGTGCTTGAATCTCATCTTAAACATCTCCTGGTTGTTCCTATGGGACAGGATGTAAGTTCATGTCTTTTTATATCAGTAAAAATCATTTTCAGTATTTGTAAGTAGTATCTTCTGCAAAATAATCTTCAGATAGTCTTATTTCACAGAACAGGAGTTATTAGTAGAATGTAGCACAGAGATAGTCCTTATTTTTGGAATTTAAAGTAATGCTTTACAATGCAGAAAACTATCACATCTTGTAAGTTACGTTTAAAGTCCAGGATAATATGTAACCAGTTTATCTACAGGAAACATTTAGTGCATAAGATACTGTCTTTAAGTTGAGAGGTATAGAATTTTTGACGCAATGACAAAAATCAAAATAAAAGTAAGGAAATATTGCAGCTGAATTAATTTAATCACTCTGAAGATTAGTTTAACCATTGGAATCAAAGATTCCAAATAATTTTCACATTTAAAATTAATTATTTATTAATGCTGCTTAAATGACACACTGTTCAAGGAACAACCTTAGGTATTACATATATCATATGTACTCAGACCATTATTTCTCCTGTTGTTCAGTGGATAGACAACAAACTGATGTTTATATAATACATTATTTTGTTAAATATTTATTTTTCTTTGAAAAAATGTGGTAACATTATTTTATAAATAGATGTCATGAAATATTAGTTTTATTTGTCAATTAATGAAATAAATAACTGAAATAAATTGAGAATTACTTGTCATTTTTTATTGTATTTGGTGTAAGGGTCAAATGGATTTAGGGATTATATACTTTTTTGCCAGAAAGAGTCTGATTAGGAAGAACAGAAATAATTTTAACATGTGCAATTAGCTTAACAAAACTATGAAACATTTTGCAACATATATGTGGGGTTCTTCTTGGATTTCTCTAGCTCTAGATTCTAAAATGATAAAAATAAAAATAGATGATCCACCCCCTCTAAAAAAAAAGACTTGAAACCTGTCTGTTGATTTGTTTATGTGTATCATGCAAACCCAGATGTATGGTTTGCATGATGAATGGTTTCATTTAATTGAAACAGGTTTCAAATAAATGAAACCATAGATCAAAATGCATAGTTAACCTCATCTTCAAAGGTCAATGAAAGTTCTTTATGGGTGCGTTTTATCTATTTTTTGCACATGTTCGCAGACTAAAACTGTTGGATTTCTGTATGCAGTGCTGTGATAAAGCTGACCTTTGTTTAGGAGATAAGCAGGAGAATTAATGCATATTAAAGCAGAGGGAAACAGCTGTATATCTGTTTTTATTCAAACTGTATTTTTATTTTTTTCCTCCAAGGTTCATGCCTGCTGCGTTGGCTTTCCTCATCCTAATCGCGCTGACTAACTACGTAGTGATATTTTTCTCCTGCTATGGTCTGAGCCAGTATGGAGCCTGGCTCAACAAATATCACAGAGTCGACCTGTGGCTCCATCGACTGCTGGTCAGATATGCAACACAACCCTTTACCTTCTCAACCACTGCGTCAGAATCTGTCTTAATCATTTAATTGTCTGTATTGCAGATTCAGAATGGGATTGCCATATATGCCACATGGACAACCATAGCGTCCCTTGTTAACCTGACCATCGTTCTAGTGTACAACGCCAATGTATCCGACACAGATGCTGCCACCATTTCCCTTTCTCTTTTAACTGTGGTGGTGGTTGCATGGTATGTACAAATCAGACAAAAATGAAAACTTTATCTGACTAAAGAATAAAAAGGGGTCGGTAATGTCTTGGCTCCTTTTCTGTCTCAGGTTTTTCCTGGAAAACTTTATCCTCGACAGACACGTGAGGTTTGTCCTCACCGTCTATCCGGTCGTCATCTGGGCGCTGACGGGCGTCTTTACGGAAAACTACAACGCTGCTGATCCCACTCGCAACAACATCTTCAATGGTGAGGAAAAAGGCTGCTGATCTCAGTGTCTTTCAGCATTATTGGTAAAGCTTTATGACTTAGTTTGGTGTAAAAACAATAAGACATTTGCATGGTTTGTCAGCACAGAATGGAACAGAAATCTTTATTACAGATAATACGTATTTGCAGTAGTGGCATATACTCGAGTTGAGGTGGGGGTGGCAGCCCCCTCCTTAAAAAAAAATCTTAAAAATCATCCCCCTTCTTAAATAACCATCCCCCCGTACCATCCCATGTGACATTTTATTACTGAGTGTGTACAATTTCTGCTGTATATTAACACTAATGGCAATAATATTGCCCTTTCAATATTTGGCGGGCTGACGGATAGCCTGAGGAAAATAAATAAAATCAAAGAAGTGACCTACCTGACTATAAAGCTGATCCCAGTGGGAAATTTGTCCTCTGCATTTGTCCCTAGCTATGTAGAGTCAGTGATAGCCATGCCAGTCCAGGGACTGGTCCAAGGTGCCTTGGTCAAGGTCAATGACCGGCTTACCTGACATGTAACAACCATACCATGCATATTACTTTAGGTTAATAGACTATATTAATAAGGCTATGTTCCATTATCTAAAGTCCATCATCCCCCATTCTTTTGTTATTTACAACTAGACTACTGAGTAGTGGTAGGGTAATGATTTGGGATGGAAAATTAATAACAAACCAAATCAATGTAGAAGTAGAAAACGTAACAAGGATGGACTATAGCCACTCTATAAAACATCAGCTGTATATAAAGCCCTGCTAAACAGATTTTATACCTATTAAAAATAATTTATGTCATATGTGTCCTTTTGGAAAATTGAATAAATAGGGATAAACAAGGATACTTGATTTTTATTTTTTTGTTTGTTTTAAAGATGAAACTCGAACAAATTTGATGTGCCTTTGTTTTCAGAACCCCTAAGTAAACGGTATTATTTGCAGAGTCACATTTAACTGCAGTACAACTTGGGGTTCTAAAAGCTTTGCACATATTAGATGAAGGGAATCTGTGGTTGCATAAAAGTTGCAGTTCTTTTGATGAGGGGGGAAAATGTTCCCAAACAGACTAGCTTATTACACATGGTTTCTGGCTTCCCTACTTGTTTTTAGGAAATATACAAAACTGAACTTTGATGCACTTTACCACACCAATATTACTCTTCACTCACGAGGAGTTGTATGTTTTTAAAGTGCCAGCTAAGCTTTGTTAGTTGGCTTTCAATGATTAATTCTCATTCATCAAGTTTTACGCCCAGTGTGGCCGTGATGATTATAGTTATATGTTAATTTCCTTACTCATCCCGAGCCACAACCTTCTGTCAATCATGACTTTTAGTCTACTAACCGCCACTGTTTCTCCACTGTAGCTGCCCTGTTAGGTGTCGCCTGTTTTCTGTTTGTCACACGGATACTTCTCGTCTCTTGGAGGCAAATCAAGAAGCCGCTCTACAAAGACGTAAACCCTGATGACATGTCCCCGATGGAGATCGCAGAGAAGCAGAACAGGTTTTTAAAGTGAGCTTCTTGATTGAATGTTGGATGCCTTCTTTTATTTCAAAGTTAATCCTGTAATTTTGAGAATCCTTTTCATATGCACTGAGAACTTTACCATGTATTCACCCTGGAATGTACTGCTGGCTCTTGATGAAGCCTCTGTGAAAAATATGGGTGCCTTATGCTCTGAGGCCTCTGCTTGATTTGGGTGCTCTTTATATTTTCTATGCCTTTAGTCCTTTACATGTTATAAGTTTTTATATGTTATTGTTTGCTTTTTGTCAACACAATTTGACCTTTGGATCATCTTCCTTTTCTATTATATAAATTTACCATTGACTGAATATTTAATGCATCTGGATTACTTATTTGTACAACAATTACGATGTCAGAATCAGAAAGGTGTTATTCATTCCTAACGGAAATAATATACTATTGTATGTAAAATTATAAAAAAATTTGATTGAAGAAATGTGCATATTAAATAAATGTATGAAAAAAAAAATGTTTACTGTTGTAATTTTACTTCATTTTCTTTCATAGCAGAGACTTGTTCATTAATCATTAAAAGTTGTTTCAAGTAATATTAATAAACTATTATGGTTTAACTCAAAAACAGCTATTTTATGTTTTAGCATCCATAAATTGCAGGAACTATAACAACCCTCATTATGGAGACAAGCACTATAAAGATACTGAGTTTTTATTTTAATATAAGTTTTTTTGACCCTGTCCCTTTAAAGTCAATAGGGTCAAAACATCGACCCTGTTGTGACTGAACTAAATGCAGCTGCACCGGCTTAATGTAAGAAAGCATCAGGCTCTGATCTGTATAACCAAAATGGCCGAAGCTGCCGCAGATCTGGATTGTTGGTTTATTTATTATCAGGATTATTTGCCCCCCCACCAGTACAGTAAATAGAATTAAATAATGCAGCCAAGATCCAACCTACATTTGTACAACATATGTAAATGTAGAGCACATAAAATAAAACTGTGTGCTGCTTAAGATATTTTTTGTTTTAATGTAAGTGGAAGCAAATTCTACAATGGTAAACAAAACGAAAACTAACAACAAGAGACATAAAATCAGACAAATGTCCTCAGCTATTACTGGTAGTGCACCAAGCTCCTCCATACAACATCCAGGACTCAGATCTGCTGCCTTACCGATCATCAGCCATCATATAACCTGGTTAAATCTTCTAAGCAGTGAGTTTTCAAGCTAGGTTGCAAGTAATCTGTAGCATATAAGAAGACCTAACCCTATTAAAATATTTGAAGACTATTCACATATTTTGTGACTCTCAAAGTTGTGCTGCTTTCTTATTCCAGGGTGAAGGGGATGCATTTTCTTTTTTTCTTTTGCTTATTCAATGAGGCGATCAGATTTTTTTTTACATGACCATATCTATTGGGTAAATTAATATTTTTTCAGGTGAGCATGAATGATTCTAAAACATCTTGCTTTTAATAGAAATCAAATTTTAACTTTCTGAAAGTTAAATGGACAATAATAGTTGAGGCTGATAAGCCTCAGTCCACTCTATGGTCACTTAGTACTAGAAAAAGATTCAGTTTGTAAAAACCTCAGAATTAATTTAGTATAACATTGATAAAAGAGGAGAACATTCATTCTTACACAAGGATTTAAATCTCCCATACGTGTCTATCTGCTCTGTAATCTCCTTATTGTGAGTTATCAGCTCATGTATGGGTGGGGGTGTAGTCATCTGGCCAGTGTCAACTCCACTTGGAGGAAAGTCTTTATGAAACAAATGTTATCGAATAAAACAACTTTGTACCTAAGGTGTTAGTCTTTACCTGTCTACTCTGTGTTGGAATAAAAGTAACTCAAATAAAAAGAAAAAAAATCAGAGAGGAGAGCAGAATTGTGAGACAAGGAAAATAGAAAAATCTTAAACAGAAACCTTTTCCATGTGTTAAAAAGCTTAGGGGGCAACATTTGGACACTTCAGCTGATTCCAGCTTTCTATGAAACTATTATTATATCTGGCTTTATTTGCTGCTCTCGTTCATATATGTGCTATTTTGCTAAAATTGTATTTATATGTCTTCTATTTTAGTTTTTTTATGATTTTTTGTTTGAACTAAGCCAAAAGTTCAAGCAACACGTTATCTAAAGTTAAATTTGCAAAAACATTCCTTGCAGTGAGCGTAGTGGCATTGCAAACACTGCACCTGATATAAGACACTAAGACTTTTTTGTAGAATGATGTCCTCTGTTATAGGAAAATTAAAAATATAGCTTTGACTATATTTTATTTGAGTCATAATTCTAATAATAAAAGGAATGTAATATAAATGTATACATGTCGTCTGAAATTAACTAGATATTCTGTAGCAAGCAGTATGTGCATACAAGATAAGAGCCACACGTGACCTCTCATGGTGGGTCATAAAAGTTCTCCTTACCTAACTATGAACCTTCTATATAAACAGGCTAATCTGCCCTGTACTCTGCATTTACCTTTTTCTCTTTACACCAGCGACTTAGTGGAGATCAGAAGGAGCAAATAAGGTATGTAAAAGTTCATCTTCCTGCATACTATACATGTGTGGACCCTTTATCTTCTCACGCTGCCGGGGTTTTATTGACTAGCGTAAAATGCGAGATGATATAGAAACACGTGAATCCATGTGTTTAATGTCACAAATGTGTGTTCAAAAGGAAGTATTTAATTATTACATTTTCCATTTGGTATTCTCATACCTTAAATGTGTATTTTTCTCTGTATGTCAATGGTATAACTGCAGGATACCACAATGGCAGAGCACAACTACAGACGCCTTGCTGCCGTTGTCATATCGTTTGCCGTCTTTGCAATAAGCCTTGTGTTCAATGTGCTGTCTGTGTTTGCAGTGGGTGAGTTGAATCATATTTTATTTCTTTTTTAAGCTAAGTGTGCTGGAAGACTTCGATTATTCATGCAGGATTATAAACATGAGTTTCCCTTGAGTTTGAATACATATTTACATTCTTCTTTTGTAGGTCCTTATACAACCACTACAGCCAATGTGTCGGCTGTATATGACACAGAGCTCACTCCTTCAGGGTGGACCTTCTCCATCTGGGGTCTCATCTACATCTGGCTGGCAGCAATGATGCTCTACATTGTTTCTGGTATTTTTAGAAGGTAGTTCAGACATTCTATGTCCAAACAATGGCTCTGCGATGAAGACAAAATGAAGGATTAAATTGTGTCCTGCTTGTTTTGTCCTGCAGTAATGGTTATGGATACGTCTACGCCGGCCCTGCAGGGTTGCCGTATGGTTTCTTCATCAGCTGGTGTCTCAATCAAGGATTTAATATCTCCTGGCTTCTTGTTTGGGACAGAGGGTAAAAGCCTTCCCTCCATACTCTGAACGCTTTAGGTTGCTTTTCTAAAAATGCAAACCAAACTTGTAGCCAAATATAGATGCCTTTTAAAGCAAGTTTTTTTGAAAATCACAAAAAAGCAAAAACATTTTAATCTGTTTTCTCTTTTCATAGACTGATGATTCCTGCTCTTATTTTCCTCATCCTGATCATCTGTACAAATTACAGCATGGTTGGCTTCATCTGCCACAGACTTCACATTTATGGACCCTGGCTAAAAAGTACAATTGAAAAAGATCTGTGGCTCCTGCGGGTGTTGGTAAGTTGTTGTAATGCAGAGCCAGCCACAGAATGCAAACTAAACCAGTGCTTAATGACCCAACTTTAGCATGAATAATCACCAATATCAGGTTTACAAATATTCAATAATCACACAGTAATACCAAAAAATAAAGAGCATTTTGTTCCCCTTTTTACCAGCTTCAGTAATGGCTTTGCTTCTAGGGTTGATATAGATATTTTACTCCAAAACATTTACCCCTGGATTGTATAGAACCACCTCATAAGGAAAGATTTTCAACATTCTCGTTGTGCTTTTGTTTAGTTTCTTTTTAATAAACCAGAAAAAAACTTACATTGCGGGACAGAAGCACATAGCAAGGAGCTAAAGAGGATGAGAAAATGGAAGCATGGTATGTAGAAAAATAAGAAACCAAAGGAGAATTGTATCAATGGTTTAAAAGGAAAGAACTCTATACATCTATTATTAATATTAGGAAATAACTAGAGAATGTAAGACCAAAATATTATGAACAGCAAAAAAATAATCAGAAAGGAGAATCAAAAGAAATCTAACACTTTAATATAGAAAAGAAAAATGGGGAAATTGTGGTGTTACAGCTGCAAAAAAGATTACACCAAAATTTATTACACAAATGTGGACATTAAAAGTATAAAAAATAATAATAGAACAAGCGAGAGAGATAAGAAAATAAACAAAATACTGCCCTGTGCAGTGTTTTTACAATATACATACCGGTACTGTGCATCTGAAGAATAGATAATCATTATATAGCTGTGGACATTTTTAAAGTACTGGATATGTGAAAATAGCATCAACACCAGATATGTGCAAAAAAATGACCACAGCATTTTATATAAATGACCAAGACAGAAACGTTACAAAAATCAGCATGAATGTAACAGATCATATCATAGCTGGGCTTCAAGAAATACTTTCAAGTCATATAACATCTTAGTTTATGAAAAAAACTAAAAGACTAACATAAAAGTCTTCAAAAAACATCCTGGCAAGCATCAATTTTCGTTAATTTATTTAACCACAAATGAGCCCAAAATCCCCAAAAGATTTTTTGTAACTTAATGTCAAACAGTGATAAGAACCCGTCTTTTTATTCAGCTTATGTAAGTAGCCCTCCAACAACTTTCTCAAAGCAAAAGTAAAGATGGTACTTGGTAAAATGGCTACTGAAGGACTGAGTAACTGTCGACTCATACAGTAACATCTGATTAAAGGTTTTAAAATATTTGATCATATAGACAGTTATGAGCAAATTGTGATACTTTAAAGTAAAACATTTAATAAAAATAAGTGGAAAAAGATGGCATGCTTACAAAATAACCAATTCAGGAATTTTTTTTTCAACATAAACTTTTAAAACCAAATGTACAAAAATTTAGTGCATATGTTAGGATAGGATGAAGAAATTCCAGTGCCAGTATCTATACTGTTTACTATATGTTGATCTGATCTCAAATAGCTAAAGTTACTCTTGTTCTGTAACCAGAAATGTTACTTAAGTAAGAGTAACTGCAAAGATGTGGCTATTTTTGCACATTTATGTATTGTCTAATGAACACTGTAATATCTGTGATGTAAAGCACAGATATTTAAACATTACGTATATTTTTGCTGAGCTGTGTTGATTAATTGTTGCTGGAAGATCTGCAAATCGGCTCTGACATAATCTGATTATATTTTACAGAATTTAATAACAAAAACAACAGGAAAAAGTTTGTTTTGATGTAATTTAATCTGAATCTGCAGGTTCTGAATGGTGTGATGATCTACACATCATGGACAACCATTGCAACGCTCCTCAACCTGACTATAGTGCTAAAATATGAAGCCAACATGTCCTCGGCAGACTCAGCCACCATCTCCTACTCTCTTCTAACTGTGGTTCTGCTTTCATGGTGAGCCTGATTTCTTTTTCAATTTTTCTTTAGAAAGAATGTAATAAGATTTGCAAAAATAATCAATATTTTTTTACAGGTTTGTTGTAGAAAACTTTGTCCTGGACAAGCACATGCGGTACGTTTTTATTCCCTACGTTGTTGTGATCTGGGCTTTGTCTGGAAACCTGACCAAGAATTATGACGCCTCCTCACCCAGCCGCAATGGCATCTTTATTGGTAAGCAAGGGGAATGCCACATATCTAAGCATGAGGATATAAAACAAAGATCTGTCTAATATATTGTGTTCTTGTAGCTGTCCTGCTGGCTGTTTCCTGTGTGCTGCTCGCCATCCGGATTGTTTTGGTGGTTTGGAGAAACACCAAACAGCCACTCTATAAAAATGCCAGTCCTGAAGCCTTGGATGTACCAGAAATTACTGAGAGGCAGAAAAAAATATTTCGCTAAGCCTTTTTATGTCATATCCTATTGCAGGAATACATTTCTGTATTTTTTTTTCTATTTAAATTAGATAGGCTATTTCTATGTAAATTCTGCCACATTAACATTCGCTCCAGTATATTTTTCTGCTATTCTTCTCAGCTTCGACTGCCTGAACTATGAATATCTTACGGTTCTTGCCTTGAATCTATATAAGACTTGGATAGAAATACTGTGACTACATTATAGTCACTTTACTTTAGGCAGAGAATGGATTGTACTTAATCATTATATTTTAAGCAGTTTTATATTTGATATATATATCTTCTCTGATGCTTTTTTTGTTAAATTATTACTTATATTACAAAAGCAGCTTTTTTATTTTACCGATTTTATCGCATTGCTTGTTATTTTAATTGTTTTGTTTGAATTACTTAATTATGATAATTTTCTTAGTGTGAAAATAATTATCTAAACATGACTACGACGTAAATGTTTTTTTATGGTGCTTTAAATTTAATATTCAAAGTGCTTTAATGGCTTATGTAAACATAAATAAATCAAATTTATCAAGCTGTGTCATAATCTTACATAGAATCCTCAGATACTATCTAAGGCAAAATGGTTGTTTCAGAGGCATTTTTTTTTTTAAATATCAGATATGTAATAATAACAGGACTTTAACAGGGACATGTATTTTGACTTTAAAAATTAAAAGTCATTTTAAACTAACAGTAAATTTTAAATAAATCGTCATGTCATGTCTTTGAATCAGATTATCCTAAACTAGCAGGCCAAAGAAACACATGCAAGACTCTGAAAAATAACTGTTTTTCATGGTGTTCTCGGTTAATAAAATTCTCATTTCAAAGAATGTTTTCATTCTGTGTGAAAAATTAAACATTTTTTAATGGATGATAAAGCAACTGGAATGAAAGGCTGCGCAGTTTAACTGATTTAAAGACACTGCCTGCCTCTCTGTCTGTATTTCTATCTATACCTCTCTGTATAAAGCAGCCAGAACTCCCTAATCATATTCATAAATATATTAATTAGATTTACAAAGCAATCAAATACTTATTGTTTGGATCATTTAAAAATAGGTCTTTTTTCTGTTTGTTTGTTTTTATTTATCCAAAACCTTTTCCTTGTCAAAACCTTGTCTTGTACGTATACATGATATATTCACACTAGTGATTCAAATAAGATAAAACCAAAACAAAAAGTATGTACATGTTTTTTTTTTCTTCAGAAAAACCCTTAGAAATTTCTCTCTTAATCTAAAAACATGTTAAACTCAAATACACTTAGACAAATTTTTAAATATTAAAAATAAATTATAAATAAATAAAATGTTATGTGTGAAATTACCAATTTTTTTCCGGTACAAATTTAATATATACAGTAGCATTTTTGATATTTGAATTTGAGTTTTTGTTCATAGTTAACAGTAAGTACATTTTCCGTTAAATGTTTAATTAATGTTATCTTTGAATGTTCAATGTCATCATCATTTTCATTTCATTTATTTATTTATTAGGGACAGTGCATACTAATGAACATCTACAACGTAAATATGGCAGATTGTAGCACTAGTGCTAATTTACATCTGCAGTCCCAATGCAAGTGACCAAGAAAAACACTATCTACAGAAAGACATTATTCATGTGTATGCATGAGCATACAGACACACATACATGCATGCCATATTTGCATGCATGCATTTACACAGATGCATGCACACAAACAATTTAAGAGTATAAAAACACAGTCTATTGATAGCCACAGGTTGGGTTATTATAGAAAATAAAATGCATAAATAAAATGTCATGTGTTATGTAATGTGTAATTTGTTATAAAATTAACAATTTTCTGGGTATTTAAACAAGAGGAACACATTTTGGAAACAGACACTGTATACAACATAATATTCACTTCTATACAAACTTAATGTTTTTTAGGCACACATGAAAAATTTTGTGTCAAGAAAAGTTTTTTACCCAGATTTTTTTTAAATAACTCAGTTATGACTTGAAAAAAACACAGATCACCGGGCAGTAAGACGCCTTTATTTAGGAAAAAATTAAAATAACTCAAGGAAAACAACCCCTCCAACACAAAAATGACATTACTTACGGTGCCTCTAAATAACCTACAGGGGGCAGTAGGCAACACAAGTGACGTGTAGAAGAAGAACCCCACTGTCACAGCCCTGTTATTGAAGCCCTAAACTTTGTCTTTCAGGCTATATTACAAATGTAAAAATTCGTTTTGATAGCTATCTAGTAGGCCTACGTTAACTCTAAACCTACTAAAGTATAATTTTAAAAGAAAAAACTGGATTTGAAGTAAATAACTTTAAAATCATGGCTACCTGTAAGACCAGGCACAGGGGAGAGGTTTTAGACTTCGCGGGCTATTTATAAATAGTCAACGGCGCCATTGTTTCTGTAAGAATGATTTTAAGTTTGATGAAAATAGCTCATCCACTGACTTATATTTACACAGTAGAGTGTTCCTTCAGTAGTTCCAGAACGGGGTGGACATTAACATATTCAAAAGGTCGAGTAAATAAGCCAATAGTTGGAAAAGACAGGAAAGCTACCGTTAGCTGTTAACTTCAGCATCGACAGATGAGGGAATCGTCGTTGCGGTTTTAAACACTGATACCTGGCAGACAAAAATGGAGCAACCGTACCGGACTGGGGTTACTAAGGTTGGTTTTCTTGCTCTCGTTGTCTCTTTATCACCCATCATATATTGAAGAGCTACAGGCTAACCTGTATCTGATTTTTTTTAGCCCTGCTCTGTTTGCTTGTAGTGCTAAACGATGGGCGGGGGAATTCTTTTTTGTTTATGTTTTGTACAAGAAAATTTGGAGTGAAATGGCATTAATGTGATCCAACCCGTTTTAAAATTAACACTTCTTGTCAAACATCTTTATATGTTTCATTTACACTTGATCCGTTATATTTGATTAAAGATTTATGTTATGGGATGAAACCATTACGAAGTATCGACACATCAATTTATATCTTATTGAAGTAGCTCAGAGCCTATAAATGTATTAAATTACACATCTTAGCTCTATTAAAATGTATGAACCAATAGTGTTAGTCTACAAGTGTCCTTCTAAATGTAAGTTAATATGCCTTATTGAGGGCCATTGGTGCTGCACCAAAAAGGAGGACATTATGTGGCAGATCAATAAATTACTAAGGTCTACATAATAATCGGGTATTCTCTCATTTATGGTGCAATTTGAGGGGTTTAAAGAGGATGGTTGTGTAGCTGAATAGGGAAAAAATATTAATGAAAAATTAAATAGTATACGTTAACAGTATTTGTATTTAATACATTGTGGTGTTCAAAAAGTGAGTCTTTTAAAGTGCAGAATGCCACAAAGCATAACATTTGGGGGACTTAAATGTTCAAAAACGTTTATTTTATGGTAACTGTGCAATGAAGTTGGCACAAAAAGGGTATTATTGTAATCAGCAGGTCTTCTTGTATTGTTACTGCTTCTGATACAGAGTACCAATACAAGTGCCTATAAAAGCTTTGTGAAAAGTTTTGATCTTATTTTATAAAGCGCCGGACTGAATCGATCAATTAATTAAACATAATTGTTTTGATACTGTGATCTTTGTCAAATATAGAAGAGGTATCAGTTTGAGTTGTTTTTCAGGAGTACTTGACACCAGTATTGGTATGAGTGCATCCCTAGCTCCCATTCCCCTTCTGAAAAAAAAACTGTCCCACAGAATTATGCTGCTGTAGAGCTCAGTAATTTACAATATCTGTGCATTTTTAGAAAACGCATATCTACGTGCTAATGGTTAGTGCAGAGGAAGATCAAACTAGAGTGGCAATTTTGGTCGAGCAAATAGAAATTTTCCTTTTTTGACAAAATCATTTTGCCCTACTGCCAACAAAGTGTGTATTGTGTGTCCCATGTAGGCTCAAAAACGTTAATCTTTTTTTAATCTAAGCTCGTATCTCCATGCTTGTTCTGTTCTTATTGTACATGAATTGTAATAAAGTGTAAACAGAATTTCTTATGGTTTGTTTTCGTCTCCACTGTACAGCTGTGTTTATGCTAAGCTTTATAAATAGGTGATTTATGACCTTTAAAGACAGCTGGTTGTAGCCAAGCTTGTTCAAAGGTATGGGGAAAAAAAGGTCACCGAATTTAACTTCTCAGAGTTTTGTTAGTGAAACAAAAAGAAAAAAAATCCTAGAGGTATATAATTTCTGTCTTCGTCCAAAATATCCACCGCCTTTTCGCCGTCTATTTGATTTAGTTTCAACGAATGTTTTGTGTTTATTATTTAACTACATCTCAAAAGATTGAAAGGTACATTAATACTTAATTAATTACTTAAATGTAATATCTCATCCAATGTTAAAGAGTATTAACAGATTGGATTAATTATTAGGGTTCTTTATGGAATGACCCTGGTTCTGCTATTTGTTTCTTTGTAAATATAAGCAGATTGATTTTCTCTGTTCACAGAGGATTACCAAGAAGAAACTGGAATACTTTACAGGAAAGCAAAGGTATGCTTCTGTTCATATAGAAGACTATGCATCTGTTTTCTCCTATTTCTTTTTATAGTAGAATGCAATAGAATCTCATGTAGATGAACAACATTTATATCATATGCTAATAATTCCTCGTAACATTTCAGGTTAGGCATAATTATGTTATTAATGCGATTTTGGCGGCTGGATTTCTTTGGGGAACTCTTTTGAATGAAATTACTCCAAATGTGAGGAAAAGCGATGTGATGTTTGCCTCTAAATGTTAAGCTGGGTATTAAGTTGTCATATTCAAGGTATAATCTGGGACTAATTCCACAATAAATGCCCCAAAATACTCTCTCCACATTTTTCAGTAATTGGTAATAAACGCATAATTAATTGTTTTTCCAGTTTTTATATTGTGACATTGTTAGTTTAAAAATTTTTATTTTCTGCTTTAACAAGATACAGTGAATTTAGGTGTATTATTCAATTATAATAATCCAATCTTGAATCCAGTGGATTTATTGGTGACGTGTATTTCATGTATTTTTGTCTAGCAATATGTTTTTTTTTTTTTATATATATAATTTGAAATAGGATTTTTCTCCTGCACTTTATGTTTCAGTTTGCCTAATGGAGTCGGAGAGACTTTCACATATGAGGATGTCAGCAAGTTTGATGATGGTCAGTGGTATTTAAAGTGGGGTCTGCTGGGGGGGAATACTTTCTTTTGTTATTATAACAGAACATTGTTTTTTTCTATACTTTATTGAATATAAAAAAGATTGTAATAATATCTTGAGAAGGATTTAAATCTACTTAACCTCCCATCATGGATGGCTGGGTCCTGAAATTCCTTTTCCCACACAGGTGTGTTACAACACACCTGTGTGTGTCTGGCCTTTTTCCTTTAATGATAAATGATAAATGTAGAGCATTTCTACAAGCAGGCAGTCACTTCTGTAGGGTACTGACAGGCATTAAGGACCCACCCCTCCCACTTCTTTGGTAGTCAAAAAGTATTGATACTCAAAATCTACATTTAA